GGGAGAGGGTACAGAGGGCTTGCTCCTGCTACTATGGAACATGCCGTTGGGGTAGGGGAGGGTGGTGGTGCAGGAGGCTGTGTGAGGTTCAAGGGAGGGACGAGTTCCGCTTGCCAATCGGAGTTGAGAGTCAGAGCAGATGAGAGCAATTAGATCATTTATACGTTCTTTTTAAAGGAAAAGGGGGCATTTTGGGGTTTTTATAAAATAAAAATACACTGGTAGGAACTCATATGAGCTGGAGAGTGGTGTTTGCTTACAAAGTTTGATTTGGGGTATTAAGCTTGTGGGCTTATTTTTGAGGTGGGGGGTGAACTTGCCTTCTTATTTTGGGGTTAGAAGCATTTTCCCTTAATATTTAGGGAAAAATGTTTTAAGGCCCCCAAAAAAAGATCCGGTTGTGGCCCAGCCCCCTCAATTAATTCCCTTAGCATTCAGCCCCATTAAATGGTGAAAAATGTGGCCCAGCCCTAAAACCTCATTCCTATACATGTATTGGGTGTATTTTGACCAACATACCTAAATTACCCTCTTCTCTCTCAAACGAAAACCGGCTAAATGGGTTCCGCCTCTGGCGGCGACCGCTCCCATCGCATTTAAGGCGAAGCGACGGAGGAAAGCGGGGGAAAAAAGCGCGCGCTCCCTCCATTACTGTGCTGCTTCATCAGACGGTACTATAAATCGGTTAGTTCTAGCTCTCACTCTCTCATTAATGAAATTAGGGTATGTTCTTCAACTGTCAACCACGCCTATGCGGCTGAAATCACCTCAATTACTCCTCACCTCCTCATAACTGTCCTCATAACTCTCAACCACCCAATGGCCGCCGATGACTTGATTTGCATGGTGTCTTTAGGCGAGAATGCCATATTTATGAAGCTAATGTCGACAACAAGTTTTTATGAACTGAAATATGGTGTGGCTGAAAGATTGAAAGTACCTGAAGAATCTTTTTCCCTGATATATAAATCTGAGAGGCACCCCAACCTGAGTTTTTCGATTGAGAACGAAGCTGACCTGAAGTGCATGTTGGAGCACAATCGAAATATTGGTTGTACGGAGATTCATATGCAGGCTGCTGTTAATGTAGAGTGTTCCACGTCAGGGAAGAATCAGAAAGATATTAGGGAAATGTAAGTAATTAGTAAACTCTTTATAACATTGTGCTTAGTGTGATGTAAACACCGTTATCTTTTGGTCAACTTTCAATGACCCCTCTGGGCTTTAAATCCCCTGAATGTAACCGTATAACCGTCGTCATAAATTTGAACCCCCAACGGGTTCCAAAGAGTTGATGAGCATGGTGCCGTCAGGCGATAATGCTATATTCTGCATGATTTTAAGTGCACGTTGGAACGCAAGTAAATAACTAGAATTGTTCTGATTAAAATGCAAGATGTTGATGCCAAGTAGTGTCCTACTGAGGAAAAAACAGAAAGTTATTACTGATTTGTAAGTAATAGAATGAACTCTGCTTGAAACTGGTATATGTGGGATGTTGAAATTGTGATTTCAGGTTTCGATGCTACTTTGGGGAAAAATAATTGTCAACGCTGATTTAAAAATGATAAAAGAATGGAAATCAAAAGGTTTGTGAATGAACACAGTTGCGGACAACATTCTAGCTTGTCAGGGCAATCACGGGCATCTCGCAAGTTCATAGCAGCCCAATTGCGACCGGTATTAAAGGCACGACCTGAAATCCGCCCAATTGATGTGCAAAAGGACTTCCTCACTCGATTTGGATTGAGACTTGAATACAGTAAGATATGGTGGGGCAAAGAAAGAGCGCAACAGGATATGTATGGTGATAGCTATGAGGCTTATGATCAATTAAGATGGTAAATATTACAGTTAATTTATAACTTGTGTGCAAATGTTTATCGTAGCCGCTTTAATGTTAATATGTTACCCTTATGTTCCAATGTATTATATTTATTTACATGTCCAGAAGCGGCATTGTTGTACAGGTATGAGCAAATGGTGAAGCAAACGAATCCAGGAAGCTACATTTGCATTGACCAGAATGAAGGAAGGTTCAGAAGACTGTTTATATGTTATGCTGCTTGCATCCAGGGTTTCTTAAATGGCTGTAGACCCCTTTTATTTTTGGATGGGACCTTTTTGAAAGATAGATATAAAGGCATGCTCCTGAGCGCTATAGCCTACGATGGAGACCAAGGGATATTTCCACTTGCGTATTGTATATGTGATCAAGAAAATGTTGATAATTGGAGATGGTTCCTACAAGGCTTGTGGTCCATACTGTATGAAAGGTTGGACCCGTACAATCCCCCCCCACCAATTGGTAATTATTTCTGATGCTGACAAGGGGATTCGAGAAGCCGTGAGAGAATATTTCCCCGAAGCAATTCACTCACGCTGCGTTCTGCATCTAGTTGAAAATTTTAGATCAAAGCTCAAGGATTTGGGAATGAAGGCAAAGGACACACAGGTTTTGGGGAATTTGCTCCAAACTGCTTGCTATAAATACACTATAGCGGAATGGAACGACTACATGAAGGAAATTTATGAGATGGCTCCAGCCACATATGAGATTGGAATTAATTACTCGCCAGAGCATTGGGCAAATGCCTTCTTCCCTGGCATTAGGTATGCATTCAATCATTATGACGTTTTGCGGTTGATGTTAACTGTTATGCATATATGTGAAGTATCCTTTTTATAGGTTAACCTTCGCTGATATATGTTAACTTTCACCAATATATGTTAACTATGATGTTATTATGTTAGACTTTAGCAGTATAGGTTAAGTTTTATGATCACTTGTTAAGAAGATAACATATTATATGCCCATCATACTTCCTATATGTTGTCCTTTGCAGATATGGCCATGTAACCTCTAATGTCGCAGAATCCTTTAACAGCTGGATACGTGAAGCCCGTTTGTTACGTATCCTGCAAATGGTGGAGCATATCCGAAAATAACTTATGACTCGCATGAACAACAGACGGATAATGGCGTGTAAGTGGACAAGCTATCTTTGTCCTAAAGCTGAGAAGATTGTTAGGGAAAATATGGAAAAAGGGCACACTTTAGAGATTAGGCAATCTAGAGATGATATTTTCGAAGTGCAATCACATAGAACCACTCGCGTTGATTTGGAGAATAGAACATGCACTTGCCGAGCTTGGGACGTAACCCGTATTCCTTGTGTCCATGCTTGTGCAGCCATTATTTATATGAAAAGAGATGTATATCAATATTGTGATTGGTTCATGTCCGTAGAAGCGTTTAAGAAGAGCTACGACGAAATATTATATCCCATACCAGACTATGAGAAGCGGAGTGTGCCCACAGATGAGATCCAGATTTTGCCACCAATTACCACTAAGAGGAGGGGAAGAAATAGAACAAGACGCATAAACAACAGACCATATACAAACGGCCCGTCAAATGTTCTCGGTGCAAAGTTGAAGGTCACAATAGAGCAACCTGCAATGAGCCCATCCGTGACTAGTGTGTTTCAGCTTCAAACAACAATACTTTTGTATGAGACATATAGATGGTTTTAAAGTTGTTAAGTACAACTTTAAAACCATCTATATGTCTCATACAAAAGTATTGTTGTTAGAAGCTGAAACAAGACGCATAAACAACAATACTTTTGTATGAGACATATAGATGGTTTTAAAGTTGTTAAGTATATAGCGTTGTACTTTTGTAATCTGTGATAATGCCTGTTAGATTCATTTTGTTCATGCTGTTAATAGAAACTGCAAGCATGAGAGACATTTTCAGATCTTCACCTGTCATGTCAAGATTTTGAGTTTAAATAGGTGACTTCTCCAACATATGAGTCACTGTTCTAACGGCTAGCAACCAGTCATTTCAAACAGCCATATTCCAACGGCTAGTAAGTTGATCCTTAAGCAATATAAAATGTGCACATAGGAAAGTTATAAGCTTAATAGAAGTTCTAACTTTCCCTTCATTCCCTCTTGAGATTGCGAGATGAAAACGTCATAGGGTTCTCAGTCATGGGAAGAGGTATGTTGTTTTTGTAACATTCTAACACCCATGAAGCAGTGCAAAAATGGGAGGAACAATGGTAGATTCTTCTGGGGATGTGCAAATTTCCCAAAGAGCCAATGCAAGTTTTTCGCTTGGGCTCACAGTGAAGATGCAATGGTAAGTAGCAATATTCCAGATTGCCCAGAAGTCCCCGTTGAAGATGATATGGCGGTCAAGGCAAAGCAGTTGAAGAAAGCACTGAAGCAAGCAAACCGTGAAGTTGAAAAATGGAAACTTTGTTCTTTCTTCATGTGTTGTTTTTGTATGATTCTAATATCCATCATCTTTGTCATCTCTAACTGAATTTGGTTAAGTATCACGTGTATATGTTAATGTTTACTATAAATGGTTAAGTTTCAGAGCTATATGTTAACTCTAACTGATATATGTCAAGTTTTAGAGCTACATGTTAACTATTTCTGATAGTGGTTAAGTTTCAGAGCTACAGGTTAACTTTTATTGGAAGTAGTTAACTTTCAGCGCTATATGTTATCTTTCATACTTATATGGCAGCCACTGCAAGTTTTGTGTCGGAACATCAGTGACATATACTATCATCCCTTATCATCCCTGTTATGTATTGCATTCCAAACATTTTAGCAACAAAGATTCCGCTGTCTACCAGTTAAACAACCAGTTTCTTACATCTCCTCGTCCAACCTACCCACCAGTTAAATAAAAAGTTTTGATACCACATAACATCTCTAACTAGCAACCAGTTTCTGGACCTTTCCCTAGTTATACATCTGTTCTAATATGCCTGTTAGTTTTGCCCCCACAACAATATGCACAATACATAACTGTTTCTGACATCATTCACCCATCCTTTTGTAGCCCATCCACGTAATTTTTCTGTTCCCATCCTTCAATTAGGAGTTCAGCTACAAGCTTGGCACGGATGACGTCGGCCTCGTCAGCGGGATTAGTTACCTGACTGGTATCAGTCCCTTGTATTATAGCCGTTATATATAAAGGAACGAAAAGCCCACAATCAAACCTACATCATATACATTGGAAAGATAGTTAGATATTTGATGCTGAATAAAATGAAAATGTTTAAGTGTGTGAAACACTAACATTCCTCGCTGTTGCTCGCAAGGGACGGCTTCATATCGGTACTTCTTCCAAACATTATTGGGATCAAAACCAGCCTTCATGTGATCCATGAAATCAATTACTTTATTTACTGGCTCCAAGTATGCACTGTGGCCTGCAGAGCTGTAATGCCTGATAACATCCTCGTCCAACCTTACTTCAACAACATGCCAGTGGTCATGCCGCACGAGCGGGATAAGGAGTACTGATTTATTTGCGGCGACATGCTTTTGTATGAACGAGGTGTATAAATGTGCGTAGTCTGGGTTCACTGCATAAATGCTATGCTGTATTGCCAAGCAAATAATGATAAGCCATTTGTAAACAGGAGTTAAAAAACATTGGGAGTTTGAAGCTAATGCTTACGCAGAAAAATGCTGACACGACCCCATATTTCATGCCAACAGAAGCAATTTCTGGCCTCTCTAGCCATGAGCTGAGCCTATCCACAAGAGCTTCCATGACCTGTTAACAGAAGATGCAAATAAGATTGCATAACATCTCAACACGCAGTAAATCCAAGTATTGCGTAAAAGATTAACATATTGAGAGTAGCATATTGAACTTGCATGGTCATCGATACGCCCTCCACGTAGAAGATACAGAAGCTCCGTTGAATCAACGCTGCTGTTCAATGTCTTAACAATACTACGTGACCTGAAACATAACAATAAGATCCAAATTTTAACATAAACCAGGCTATATGTTAACTGGATTTGCAAATATAAACATGATTTGGCAAACGTTGGCACAAACAGGTATAAGTTAACATAAACCTATAATCATTAACATGTACCTATGAAAGTTAACATAAACCTATAATCATTAACATCTAACTATGAAAGTTAACATAAACCTATAATCATTAACATGTAACTATGAAAGTTAACATAAACCTATAATCATTAACATGTAACAATAAAAGTTAACATAATGTAGCCACGGTTAATCAGAATGTCTAAACTTACTGATGGGCTGTTTCATTGCAGAACTGAGAGAGCCATCTGTTCTCATCTGGTGTGAGCTTTGCTGCTATATGCTGAGGCACTCTATAGTTGTGAACGAAGGTTCCTTCACTATCAATCACACGTATGCTAAAATCATCAACGTTGGGAATACCCTCGTTTAGCAACTTCAATAGAGCCTCCTCCTTCTTCTTGATTTTCCTCTTCCCAAGAAAATCCCAAGTGCATTCCTCAGGCTTACAATAGAACCTGATTTTATCCCTCTCTTCCTCCTTGTGTGGTGATATGTTAAATGTTAATTATATCTGGACGACCGTCCTTCTTCTTTCCTTCAGTGAAAGGGGTTCGGACTAGATGTGAGCGAGTCCTCTTTCTGGTACTTGGTCCCCTAATACCCTTTGACACAAGTTTCTTCCCTCTCTTCGTAAACTTGCACTTATCTTATCCTCCTCACTAGGCCACTCAGCTTCCCTCTTTGTTCAACCCCATCTCATTGGCATTCCTCCTTGCGCCTGCCTCCTTTCTCTTCCTCTTTTCTTCTCCATTCTCTTGCTCTTCCTTCTTTTTCTTCTCATCTTCTCTCTCTTCCTCTTTTTCTCCATCTCTTGCTCTTCCCTCTTTTCTTCTCATCTTCTCTCTCTTCCTCTTTCTTCCCTCCTTCCTATTGCACGTTTCTCCACATACGCCAACCTCCAATTTCTTGACATTCACCTTTCTCTGCCTCCTTCTTCTGTTTCGCAACCAGCCTCGGCAATATGAGAAGTTTCCTTTGCCAATGTTCGACTTACATAGTATAATCAAAAACAAATCCATCATCAACCCATATCACTCATATCATTAGAATCAACACTCTTTCTTCTTTTCCTCAGTGCATACCCTTTATGCCTATCACTTTGTGACATAAGTTCCCTCACATTTTTCTTCAGGTCTTCGGGGTCAATCAAGTCTTCGACCCCTTCATAGCGCTCCAATTTATTGTTCAACCTATGTATCTCCTGGGAGCAAGCATCCCATTGAAGGCGCTTGCTACGCTTGACAGCGTGGAGCAATTTCCAATTTATATTGGCCGTATTCCTCCAAAAATGAATTTGCTCTACAGGCGTCAACTTATCTATTTCATCTTCTCTTGAAAAAGCATCAGCGATATGCTGGGACAAAATCTGTAAAGTACACCATATACCCTTTACCCTTGTAAATCCACAAGATTAAGCAGAATAGTTATGAAAACCCTTAAAAGAAAGTTAACATGAAACAATGCAAATTGAAAATGAATTAATGATAACGATAAAATATTTAACTCAATGTAAATATGCTGTGATGTGTAAAGAGTCATTGCTGCTTACGTAACCCACAGATGAGCTCTTTGGTCTGCCCATCACCTTCTCTTGCTTCCCAGCCTTCTGCTTTTCTTCCTCGTTCATCTTTCTCGGCCTAGTTTGCTCTTTGGTCAGCCCATTACTCCTTTTCTTCTCTTGCTTCCCGGACGTTGGGCTTCTATTTTTCCCAAAGCGAGTGAATTCAATCTTCTTCCTGCTGGGCTCCCTTTGAGGGTATTTTTCACCCCATCCAATGCTGAGTGAAATTGGTTTCTCCTCAAGTTTTATGCTTGCTTTCTTGGCCTTAGAGACGATTGTCTCCATCCTCAGCGATCCAGCCGTCCCTCCGACCCTTACCCAGTTGGTCATCGGAGGCTTCCACCTCAAGTTTAGGGCTGGTTTTTTAATGCCAGTCATCTCAAAGTACCAAAGCTGTCAGAATAGAAGGATCAATTGTCAAAATAATTAACTTGCATAACTCTTTCTTGAACTACAACATACTAAATAGCTAGCCTTCACTTCACTAACCCATGTTAACATTACTGGGTACATGTTACCTTTCACTTATTAATGTTAACTTTAATTTTTATATGTTAAAGTTTATGTTAACATGTTAACTTTCACCTATTAATGCTAACTTTTACTTTTATATGTCAAACTTCATGTTAACATGTTGATTTTAACATGTTAACCTATTAACGTCCAATGTTGTACATGTTTTCTAATGCCTGTTACCATGACTCTTATTAACTAGATCAAATGTAACATACAGGGATGAGCGGCATGTATCCAGGTACGTATGTAACCCCTGGCTTCCTCATCCCTTGAACAGCAATTTGAATGCCTCTCTTCGTCTCATCAAAAATAAATTTACCCCACGCAATGGTCTTCACTCTCTCGATACTATTTACATATTGAAACAATTGTCTTGGGATGCCTTGAGAGCTGTTGGGGCACCAAATCGTTGCACATTGGTACAATATCTGAAGCAACACAAAATCCTCAATGTCCTTATTATCAGAGGACTCAACAAGTGTTTCCAGCAACTCCTCGACATATCTCATCATGCTACCAGCTTCTGGTGTAGCCTTGGCCTTTGCCTTTGCCTTTGGCTTGGCCTTTAGC